CCCGGTGCCCCCGGTGCCCCCCGGACCCCCCGGTACCCCCGGTACCCCGGTGACGGCCGTGCCCGCAGGGAGGAGGACCTGCTGGACCAGGCGCCGCTGCTGCGGGAGAACTCGCGGCTGGGCTGCCAGCTGCGCCTGAGCCGCGCCATGGAGGGAGCGCGCATCGCCCTGCCCCGGCGCACGCGCAACTTCTACGTGGACGGGCACGTCCCCAAACCCCACTGACCCCAAACCCCAAAATCCCACCGACCCCAAAACCACTGACCCCCCGGGGGGACCCCAAAACCCACTGACCCCAAACCACACCGACCCCAAAACCACCGACCCCAAACCACACCGACCCCCCGGGCACATCCCCAAACCTCACTGACCGCGGGGGACCCCAAAACCACCGACCCCAAAACCACCGACCCCAAAACCCCACTGAGCCTGAACCCCACCGACCCCCCGGGCACGTCCCCAAACCACACTGAGCCCAAAGTCAGTGACCCCAAAACCCACTGACCCCAAACCACACTGAGCCCAAACCCCAAAACCACACCGACCCCCGCGGGCACGTCCCCAAACCTCACTGAGCCCCCGGGGGGACCCCAAAACCCCACCGACCCCAAACCCCACTGACCGCGGGGGACCCCAAAACCCCATCGACCCCAAACCGCACTGAGCCTGAACCCAACTGACCCCAAAACCCACCGACCCCGGGGGGACCCCAAAATCCCACTGACCCCCCGGGAGGGCACCCCTAAACCCCTCCCGACCCCAGGGGGAGCCCCCAAACCACTGACCCCGCAGGGCACCCCCAAACCCGGGGGTCACCCCCGAACCCCACTGACCCCTGGGGGACCCCCCGAGCCCCCCCAGACCCTCCAGGGAGTGGGGACCCCCCCCAAAAATAAATTCTCCCCCCATCCAAGGCCACCCTCACTTTTAGGGGTGTCCCCAAACTGCCCCCAAGGGGGGCGGGGGGGTCCAGTCCCAGGAGCTGACAGAGTGACCCCCTCCCCAAAAAAGAATTCCCTTTGTTCTGGATTCGGGATAACGAGCGTTGGCTCATTAATTAATTAATTAATTACTAATTGGGCTCCTTTGGGTGCTGCTTTGGGGGGCTTTGGTGTTGGGACGAGGAGGGGGCTTGGGGCTCGGCCAGGCTGGGGGTCTCGGGGGGTCCAGAACAGTGAGCAGAGACCCCCGGTGGGCTCGGGGTTGTTTATTGGGTGTGGCTCCCCGGAGCCCCCAGCCCCGAGTGCTGGCCCAGCCCAAATCCCTCAAATCGCCCCCAAATCCCCGAGGCACCGGGGGGGTCTGTGGGGACCCCCAAACCCCCTCCCCACCCGGCCAGGGCAGTGCCAGCAGACGGCTTTGGGGGAACCCTCAGTCCTGGATGGTTTACCCCCCAAAATCCCCCCCAAATCCCCTGTGGTGGGGCAGGGGGGCTCTCTGGGGGTCCCCAAACCCCGCGGGGATGGTCCCGGTCCCGGCTGGGCGTTCCTGCTGCCAAACCCTCCCCGTTGTCGTGCCGGTGCCATCGGGCACCTCCGGAGGAATCCTTGGCATCCTCCCAAACAAAACCCCCAAAAACTCCCTGGGGGCGGGCTCCGGGGTTCCGGTGCCGGTGCCGGTCACGGCGGGCTCAGCTGGATGCCGAAGGCCTCTCCGCGGGCCTCGCGGTGCCGGTGCAGGCAGGCGGCCTCGGAGGAGCCCTCGGCGTCGCGCACGTTGTACTCGCCCTTCTTGCACGCCGTGCTCTTCAGGTAAAACCCGCCGGCCGCCGCCAGCGCCAGCGCGGAGACGGCGCCCAGCGCTCCCAGCGCCGCCAGCGCCGCCAGCCAGCTCTCTGCGGGGCGGGAGGTGCCGGGGGGGGGGGACACGGCCGCTGCTGAGGGCGCCCCGGAGCCCCCGGGGTGCCCCCCAAAACCGCGCCCCGCACTCACACTCCACGGCCACGGTGACGTTGCGGACGGCGGAGCCGTGCGCGTTGCTGGCCCGGCACCGGTAGGTGCCCGCGTGGGCGCGGGTGACATTGGCGGTGGCCCGCGGCGGCTCCTGGCCGTCGCCCGGCTCGGTGGCGTTGGCGGGGTCGCCCAGCTTGGCGCAGGTGACGCGGGGCGGGGGGTTCCCGGTGGCGGCGCAGCCCAGCTCGGCCGGGGTCCCCTCCAGCCACCGGCGCCGCTCGGGGCAGCCGCGCTCGCCGAGGCTCGGCTGGTCTGGAAGCGGGGGGGAGGCGGCGGGGGGAGGGGGCGATGGGGCCGGAGGACCCCCGAGAGACCACCCCGACCCCCCGGGATCCACCGGGAGCGGCCCCGGCACTGCCGGGACCCGTCCGAGCCCAGCCGGGCTCGGCTTCATCCCCATCCTCATCCCAATCCCATCCCAATCCCATCCACCCCGGCACGGCTCTGGAATTCCCGGCGTGGATGTGGCATCCCCGGATCCCCCTCCCACGCCTGTCCCATCCCTGTCCCCCCCGGATCTCCCTCCCATCCCGACCCCGCTCCCTGCCTCGTCCCCACCCCGGTGTCCCCTCCCCTCCGCGGTGTCGCACTCACACTCCACGGTGACAAGGACGCTCCGCACGGCCACCCCGTGCCGGTTGGTGGCCCTGCACACGTAGCGGCCACCATCAGCCCGGGTGACCACGCGGCCGCGGGTGACCCCTCCGGGGTGGGTGCCACCGTCGCGGGCACAGCGCGTGCTGGGCGGGGGGTCCCCGTCGGCGCGACACTCCAGCTGCCGCCGCTGCCCCTCCACCCAGACCCGGCGTGCCGGACACCCCGCCTCGGACAGCGTGGGCTCATCTTGGGGGGACACAGAGGCCACCCGGTCGCCGCCGCGTCCCCGGTGCCACTCACGCTCCCCGGTGCCACTCACGCTCCCCGGTGCCACTCACACTCCACGCGGACGGTGACCCGGCGGCTCCGCGTCCCCAGCGCGTTGGTGGCGTTGCACAGGTAGGTCCCGGCGCGGGCGCGGGTCACCGGCTCGGGCTCGCCGGTGGCCACGGCGACGCCGTCGCGGCCGCACACCACGGTGGGCGCGGGGTTGCCGGTGGCGCGGCAGGACAGCGCTTCCCGAGCGCCCCGCACCCACGTGCGGTTGCCGGGGCAGCCGCTGGCCGGGATTTCGGGAAGATCTGGGCGGAAAAAAAAAAAAAAAGAGATTCGGGGAACGGCGGGAGGGGCGGGCGGCGCCGCGCCGGTGCGACACTCACAGAGCACCTCGAGCCGCGCCTCCGCGTCCTTTGTCACCACGCTGTCGCCCACCGCCAGGCTGGCCCGGCACCGGAATTCTCGGCCGTCGTCGTCGCGCCGGGCCAGCAGCCGGAGCTGCAGCCGGGGCTGCGGGCCCTCGGCCAGGACCCCGCCGTCCGCATCGCGGAGCTGCAGCCGCGCCGCGGGCGGCTCGGTGGCCCCGGCGCGGCACGTCACCGTCACCTCGCTGCCCGCCGCGGCCGGGGCCGGGCTCAGCTCCAGGGCGGGCGCGGGGAATCCTGCGGGAAGGTGCCGCGGATGGATCCGAGGGGATGCGGGGGTGCCGCGGTGCCCCCCGAAACCCCCCGGCGCCTTACGGTAAACGTGGAGCTGCCTCCGCGCCGTCCGCGCCGCCGTGGCCACCGCGGCCGTGCAGCTCAGCTCCCGCGGGCCCGGGCTGCGCGGGGACAGCTCCGTGCTGGCCGTCACCGTGTCCCCGGCCACCGCCACGCTGACGTTCAGCGGCTGCCGGCCCAGCGCGGCGGTGACACGGATGTCCCCGGCCGGGAAGGCGCCGGCGATGCGGCAGCTGGCGGCGGCCGCGGTGCCGGCCTCGAGGATGGCGGGGGCCTGGAGCTGCGGGGGCTCCGGGAGAGCTGCGGGGACACCGCGGGGACACGGGCTCGCCGGGACTGGGACACGGCCCCAGAGCGGGGACAGAGCCCCGGTGAGCGGGAGGGCGACAGCATCGTCACCGCGGACGGGGACAAGGACGCAACGCTCACCGAACACCGAGAGCGTGACGGGGACGGCGGCGCGGGCGAAGAGGGGCCCGTGCGGCCGCAGGGACAGCTCGGCGTGGCAGGTGACGTCCTGGCCGTGGTCGCCGCGGGTGGCGGTCAGCAGGTGGCTCACGGCCACGCTGGCGCTGCCCTCGGCGTCGCCGAAGCTCTCGGTGCGCAGCGTCTCGGCGCCGCGCCGCAGGGTCACCGTCAGGTTCCGCAGCGGTGCCACCTCCAGCACGCGGCACGTCACGTTCCGGCTGTCCCCCACGGCCACCGGCGGCACCGGCTCCAGCTCCACCCGCTCCGGCAGCTCTGGGGACGAGGCGGTGCCACCACGGCATCACCCTCGGTGTCCCCTTGGTGTCCCCACGGCATCACCCTCGGTGTCCCCTCACTGTCCCCACAGTGCCACCACGGTGTCCCCTCGGTGTCCCCACGGCATCACCCTCAGTGTCCCCACAGTGCCACCACGGCATCACCCTCGGTGTCCCCACGGCGTCACCCTCGGTGTCCCCACAGTGCCACCAGGGCATCACCCTCGGTGTCCCCTCAGTGCCACCACGGCATCGCCCTCGGTGTCCCCTCAGTGTCCCCTCAGTGTCCCCACAGTGCCACCACGGCATCACCCTCAATGTCCCCTCAGTGTCCCCACGGCATCATCCTCGGTGTCCCCTCAGTGCCACCACGGCATAGCCCTCGGTGTCCCCTCAGTGTCCCCTCGGTGTCCCCTCCAGTGCCACCACGGCATCGCCCTCGGTGTCCCCTCAGTGTCCCCTCAGTGTCCCCACAGTGCCACCACGGCATCACCCTCGGTGTCCCCTCAGTGTCCCCACAGTGCCACCACGGCATCACCCTCAATGTCCCCTCAGTGTCCCCACGGCATCATCCTCGGTGTCCCCTCAGTGCCACCACGGCATCGCCCTCGGTGTCCCCTCAGTGTCCCCTCGGTGTCCCCTCGGTGTCCCCACAGTGCCACCACGGTGTCCCCTCGGTGTCCCCACGGCATCACCCTCAGTGTCCCCACAGTGCCACCAGGGCATCACCCTCGGTGTCCCCTCAGTGTCCCCCTCAGTGCCACCACGGTGTCCCCTCGGTGTCCCCACGGCATCACCCTCGGTGTCCCCTCGGTGTCCCCTCGGTGTCCCCTCGGCGTCCCCCCGCCGTCCCCGGCACTCACGGTACACGAGCACGCCGGCGCTGGCGTTGGCCTCGGTGTCGCCGCAGCGGCCGGAGCAGGTGACGGGCCCGGGGTTCCAGCGGGACACGTTCTGGAGCCGGAAGCTTTGCCAGCGGAGCCCCCCGGGCCCGGGGGTCGCGGCCAGGGGGGTCTCGAGCCCCAGCGTGGCGTTGTCCCCCGGGCAGGCGCTGCGGCTGCAGTTGACGGTCACCGAGCCCCCGAAGGCCACCACGGCCACCCGCGGCCAGGCCACCACCGTGAAGGTGCCCCGGGCGACCCCTGCGAGACCCCCACCACGGGCAGTCCCCCCAGTTCCGGCTGGGGGGGCCCCGGTAACCTGGACGGAGACCCCCGACCCCCCCCCAACTGCCGAGGTCCTGGGGTGTCCCCGTGTGTCCCCAACCCCCCCAGTCCTAAATGTCACTGGAGGATGAGGAGGGGGATGGAGGCGGCGAGCAGGGAGGGGAGGAAGAGGAGGATGAGGAGGGGGATGGAGACGGCGAGCAGGGGGAGGATGAGGATGGGGATGAAGCGGAGGAGGACGGAGGCGATGGGGAGGACGGGGGGGGGGGGGAGGAAGAGGAGGATGGGGATGAAGCGGAGGAGCAGGAGGATGGGGACGGGAGAAGAGGAGGAGGATGGGGAGGAGGAGGAGGAAGAGGCGGCTGAGGCCGAAGGCAGCTCCTCCGCTGCCGCGCGCGCGGCCGCTCCCGCGGGGCTGCTCCTCCCCCCGCCCACCCAAAAATAAAACCCTCCCCGAGCCCCTCCCCGCGTGGGCGAAGCGACAGCGACAGACGGGAGCACCGGGAGCACCGGGAGCACCGGGAGCACCGGGAGCACCGGGAGCACCGGGAGCACCGGGAGCACCGGGAGCACCGGGAGCACCGGGAGCACCGGGAGCACCGGGAGCACCGGGAGCACCGGGAGCACCGGGAGCACCGGGAGCACCGGGAGCACCGGGAGCGGCGGCGGCGGCGACACTGGCACTGTCCCCAGCCCGGGGGGGACAATGCGGGCACAGCCCGGTCCCCCCCCGGTGCCGCTGCCCCAAAACCCCCCGGATCTGCGGAGCGCTGCCCCAGAGGATGTCACCTGCAGCGTTTATTGGTGGGACGCGCCGCTGTCGCCTGCCTGTCCCCTCCCTCCTGCTCCTCGTCCTCCCGGAGCGGCCGCGGCTCCACCCGGCTGCCAAATCCACCAAATCCACCCCAAAAACACTCGAGGGATCAAATCCGGAGCGAACCCCGGAGATCCACGCCGGGAACCGGGTGGATCTCACCGCCCCAGTCCGCCCCAGTCCGCCCCAGTCTGGGAGCTGCATCCACCACGGCGGCTCCGGCCGGTCCCCGCTGTCGCTGTCCCCTCGGTGGCCGCAGGGGGAGGGACGGGCAGGGGGTCCCGGCCCCTCCAGGACCCCTGCCCGCCTACGGGGCCGCGGATCCGTTGGGAGCGGCCGCCGCGGAGCTGCCCGGGGCCCGCAGGGGCCGCGCGTCCTGCGGCGGCTGCCGCTTCCAGAGCCGGTACTCGCCGATCCTGGCGCGGTGGCGGAGCACGAGGAGCGCGGCCAGGCCCAGGAGCGCGGCCGCCGGCAGCAGCACCCCCAGGAGCACCGGGAGCAGCGGGAACGAGTCCTCGTCTGGCGGGGAAAGGGGAGCGGGGTCAGTGGGGAGGGGGCTGCTGCGCCCCGGGACCACCGGGAGCCCAAAAACACCAAAGGCCTCCAAGATCTCCAGGTTCTGAGACCCCCCAAGACCACCCAGAACCCCAAAGACCCCCAAGATCACCCAGGACTCCCAAATATCCCAAAGAACCCCCAGGACCACCAGGGGCCCAGAAACCCCAAGGATCCCCAGAACCCCAAAGACCCCCAAATACCCCCAAGACCCTCAGAACTCCAAACATCCCCAAGACCCCTAGGAGCCCAAACACCCCCAAATACCCCAAAGACCCCCAGAACCCCAAAGACCCACAAGATCACCCAGGACTCCCAATATCCAAAAGACCCCAGAACCCCAAATATCCCAAAGACCCCAGAACCCTGAACACCCCCAAGACCTGCAGAACCCTGAACATCCCCAAGACCCCCAGGAGCCCAAAGACCCCCGCAGCCCCCCGGGCGCCCTCACGCACAGTGGACCCGGACGGTGACGTTGCGCTCGGCCGTCCCCAGCTCGTTGGTGGCCTGGCACAGGTAGGTCCCGGCGTGGGCGCGGGCGGCGGGACGCGCGGCTCCGGGGGCCAGGGAATTCCCGTCCTTGGAGCAGCTCACCTGCGGCGCAGGTGCGCCCCCGGCGCTGCAGTGCAGGATCCCCTCCTGCCCCTCCGTCCAGTTCTGCTGCGGGGGGCAGCGCTCCGGGTCCAGCCGCGGTTTGACTGCGGGAAGAGCCGGGATAAGGAGCGGGAAAAGGTGGGATGGGGACCGGGAAAAGGAGGGATGGGGATATGGAAAAAATGGGATGGGGACCGGGAAAATGTGGAATGGGGATAAGGAAAAGGTGGGATAAGGACCAGGAAAAGGAAGGATAAAGACCAGGAAAAGGTGAGATGGGGACCAGGAAAAGGTGGGATAAGGACGGGTAAAAGCCAGGATAAGCACCCGGAAAAGGAGGAATAATGCCGAAGAAAAGGCGGCCCGGGGGCCGGAATCCCCGCTCTCACCCAGCACTCGGATCCGCTGGGATTTGCTCCTGGAGTTGTAGGGATCCATCTTGGCCACGCAGGTCACCTCCAGCCCCGGCTCGGCGTCCTCCTCCCGCGCCCGCAGCTCGAAGGTCACCGGGGGCTGCTCGGAATCCCTCAGGACGCCGCGGCCCGCGGCCAGCACCCGCACGCGGATGTCCCGGACGGCCCCGGCCGGCAAGGAGCAGCTTCCCCTCAGCGCCGTGCCCGCCACGGCGGCGTCGGCGACGTCCAGCAGCGGCACGGGGACGTCTGCGGGCGACAGCGGGGTTTGGCGTCGCCGCGGCGTCGCCCCGGCGCGGTCACTCACGGTAGGCCTGGGCGGTGGCGCTGGCCCGGAGCTCCCTGCTGCCCGCCAGGACGGTGCAGCCCAGCCGGACGCTGCCCTCCGTGGCGACGGTGACCGTGGCCGTGGCCCGGTGGCCGTCCTGGCTCAGCGTCACCGGCCGGGCGTCGTCGTTGGCGGTGACGGTGACGTTGGCGGCGGGGACGGCGACCCCGAAGCTGCAGGTGACGTTGAACGGCTGCCGTGGCTTCGGCTCCGGGGGTGACAGGGACAAGTGGGGACCCTCCGGGGGTGCTGGCACGGGGAGGGGACACTGGGTGAGCCATGGGGGGAAAATGGGGGAAACGGCGGGAAAAAAATGGGGGGAATGGGGGGAAATAGAGAAAATCAACAGGAAATGTGGGAAAACAGTGGGGAAATAATGGGGGGAAATGGGGGGAAATGGGGAAAAATGGGGAAAAGAGCAGGAAAATAATGGGGGAAATCAGTGGGAAAATCAACAGGAAAAGTGGGAAAACTGTGGGGAAATGGGGAAAACAGTGGGAAAATAATGGGGGAAATGGGGGGAAATGGGGAAAAATGGGGAAAAGAGCAGGAAAATAATGGGGGAAATCAGTGGGAAAATCAACAGGAAAAGTGGGAAAACTGTGGGAAAATGGGGGGAAATGGGGAAAAGAGTGGGAAAATAATGGGGGAAATGGGGAAATGGGAAAAAATGGGGAAAAGAGCAGGAAAATAGTGGGGGAAATCAGTGGGAAAATCAACAGGAAAAGTGGGAAAACTGTGGGAAAATGGGGGGAAATGGGGAAAAGAGTGGGAAAATAATGGGGGAAATGGGGAAATGGGAAAAAATGGGGAAAAGAGCAGGAAAATAGTGGGGGAAATCAGTGGGAAAATCAACAGGAAAAGTGGGAAAACTGTGGGAAAATGGGGGGAAATGGGGAAAACAGTGGGAAAATAATGGAGGAAATGGGGGAAATCAGTGGGAAAATCAACAGGAAAAGTGGGAAAACTGTGGGAAAATGGGGGGAAACAGCAGGAGAAGAGCCCTGGGATGCGGTGGGGCAGTTCAGGGCAGGTTGTGGTGAAAGTGTCCTGAACTACAAAATCCCTATGAAATCCCTGTGAAATCCCTATAAAATTAGTTTTAAATCAGTGTAAAATCTCTATAAAATTCCATCCCATCCCATCCCATCCCATCCCATCCCATCCCATCCCATCCCATCCCATCCTAATAATTTTACCTTTTATCCCACGTAGCAAATAATTCTGACTAAAGGCTTTGGCCTGCAGGTTTACCCGAACAAATGGCTCATTTTCCTATCAATGCATCAATTCCCACCCTTCATCCACCAGGACAAAGCCCCAGCTCTGCCTCCAGAGTTCCACACTCTTCAACCACTGAGGCCAAAATTCCAAAACCCGGATCCAGCCACCCCTGAGCTCCTCCTGGAGAAGGAATCCAGAAATCTGGGGTGTCCTGGAGGGGGGTTGGGGGTCCTTTGTGCACCTCAGGGAGCTTCCCCGGCCAGGAATTCCCAATTCCTGGAGAAGTTTGGGGGGGAAAAAAACTCCCAGGCCCCTCCTCATCCCTGAATTTCGGTGTTTTCCCAGCAAAACATCCCCAGCCGAGGTCACGGGGGTGCTGAGGAAACCCCCGAAATTCGAGTGGAGCTCCCCCAGCAAGGAGAGGAAACCCCCCCGGGGGACTGGGAGGCCTCCAAAGCGCAGGGGAAGCAGAGAAAAAAAACCCCAAAGTGTTGAGGAAGCCCCCAAAAGTGCGGAGGAAGCCCCGAAAAATGAGGAAGAAGCCCCCAAAAGTGCGGGGGAAGCCCTCCAAAAATGAGGAGGAAGCCCCCAAAAGTGCGGGGGAAGCCCCCGCGGGCCCTCGGAAGCCCCCCGGGCTGAGTCCCCGCCCGGGGCCGGGGGGATTCCCCGGCGGGGCCGCGATTCCCCGGCCCCCTCGAGCGGAACCGTCCCTCCCTTTCCCGGAATGGCCTCAGGAAGGGAGGGAGGGAGAAAATCCCGCTGCTTTTGATGGATTTCGCAAGAATTAACAAAATTCCCCGCTCCATCCCCGCGGCCGGGGCGCGGTGCCACCTCCGCGGGCGGCGGCACGCGGCGGCCGCGCNGCCGCCCCCCGCCCGCCCGGTGCCACCCGCGGTGTCCCCTCACCTGCCATGACAGCCAGGGTGCCCAGGGCCAGCGCCAGCAGCGCGGGGGCCGCCATCCCGGCGGGGACACCGGCTCCCGGTCCTGCGGGGGCGCCGGGATGCGCCGGGAGCACCGCGAGGGGGGCGGTGGGGGTCGGTGGGTTCAGGGTCCCTGGGTTGGATCCGGGGCGGGCCCGGACCCCGGGAGGGGTCGGTGAGGGCGCTCCGGGAGCACCGGGAAGGTTCGGTTCAGGTTCTCCGGGAAGGTTCGGTTCGGGTTCCCCGGGATGGGTCGGTTCGGGTTCCCCGGGAAGGTTCGGTTCCGGTTCTCCGGGAAGGTTCGGTTCGGTTTCTCCGGAATGGGTCGGTTTGGGCTCTGTGGGAAGGCTCGGTTCGGGTTCCTCGGGAGCCCCGGGAAGGCTCGATTCGGGCTCTCCGGGAAGTTTCCGTTCAGGTTCTCCGGGATGGGTCGGTTCGGGCTCTCCGGGAAGTTTCGGTTCGGGTTCCCCGGGAAGGTTCGGTTCGGGTTCTCCGGGAAGGTTCGGTTCCGGTTCTCCGGGAAGGTTCGGTTCGGGCTCTCCGGGAGCACCGGGAAGTTTCGGTTCAGGTTCTCCGGGAAGGTTCGGTTCGGGGTCCCCGGGATGGGTCGGTTCGAGCTCTCCGGGAAGGTTCGGTTCGGGTTCCCCGGGAAGGTTCGGTTCGGGTTCCCCGGGATGGGTCGGTTCGAGCTCTCCGGGAAGGTTCGGTTCGGGTTCCCCGGGATGGGTCGGTTCGAGCTCTCCGGGAAGGTTCGGTTCGGGTTCCCCGGGAAGGTTCGGTTCGGGTTCCCCGGGAAGGTTCGGTTCGTGTTCCCCGGGAAGGTTCGGTTTGGGCTCCCCGGGATGGGTCGGTTCGGGTTCCCCGGGAAGGTTCGGTTCGGGCTCTCGGGATGGGTCCCCCGGGGCTGTTCCGGGTCCGTCCGGGTCGGGGTCTCGGGTTTGGCTCCGGGTGTTCCCCGCACCCCCCGTCCCTCTGTCCGTGCCTCGCTTTCTCCGTCCCTCTGTCCGTGCCTCGCTTTCTCCGTCCGTCTGTCCGTCCCACCCGCCGCTTTTATCCGCGGCCCGTCCCCGTCCCGCCCCCGGGGATTTCCGGGGCTGCGGGGACCGCGGGGCTCGAGGGGCGGCCCGGGGGGCTCCGGCCGCTGCTGCCCCCCCCGGGGCAATTCCCTGTCCCCTGTCCCGGGATAGGACAATTTTCCTGTTCCCTGTCCTGGGATAGGACAATTTTCCTGTCCCCTGTCCCGGGATAGGACAATTTTCCTGTCCCCTGTCCCGGGATAGGACAATTTTCCTGCCCCTGTCCCGGGATAGGACAATTTTCCTGTTCCCTGTCCCGGGATAGGACAATTTTCCTGCCCCTGTCGCGGGGTGGGACAATTTTCCTGCCCCTCTTTCCCTCCTGCCCCTCTGCCACGTCCCCCTCGTCCCCTCCTTGTCACCCTTGTGGCCCCACCCTGTGGCCCCAAACCGGGGGGGGGGGGGGCTCAGCTTTGAGCCCCCCCAGCCCCGACGCGCCACCTCCAGCTCGTGACGGGGCTGTCACCCGCCTGTCACCCCCCGGGGGTGGCTCCAGAGGCCACCCTTGGGCGCCGGTGTCACCAGGGCCGCGACTTCCTCTCTTCTGTCGCTTTTTGACATCAGGGGATTTTTGTCACCCCTGGCACCGTGGGAACGTCCCTGATGCCCCCGGGATGTCCCCAGGACGGTCCCGGCCTCAGGACACCATCCCTGATGTCCCCACGGTGTCCCCAGTGCCGCGGTGGTGGCACCCAGCCCTGCCACCCTCCCTCGTGTCACCTCCGGGCCACCAGGCCGGCTGCAGAGAGGGGGACAGGCCGGTGACACTTGTCACATCCGCGGGGTGACACTTCTGCCGCCCGCGGGTGTCACATCCCCGCTGTGCGGGTGACAGTCCCCTCCCCGCGGCCATCCCCGGGCATTGTCCTTGTCGCTGGAATTTCGGGAATGCCGGGAGCCTCCTGCGGGGGCTTGGAGGCCACGGGTGGCACAGGGACACTGGGATGGGGACACAGGGATGGCAGGGACACCGGGGAGGGACACGACAGGGACAGGGACAGCAGGAGCGCGTGGGTCGGGGGCAGGAGGCGTGGGGACAAAGGGGACACGGAGGCGCTGCCAGCTCCGAGTCAACAGGACGTGCCACCCCCACCTTCCCCCCGCAGGACGTGGGCCGGTGCCAGCGGCCCCTCGTGCCATTGTCACCTCCCGCCAGCGGCCCCTGTCCCCTCCGGCCTCTTCCTGATCCCCTGGGGTGTCCCCCTGTGTCCCCCGGGGTGTCCCCCTGTGTCCCCCGGCCCCAGTGGTGGCCTCTCCCCGCCCCTGTCCCCTCCTGTCGCCTCCCGGGCGCGCCAGGAAGCGGCTCCGGACCTGGCCCAGGGCTCTCCCCGGGCCGGGAGCGATTCCCGGAATTGGCCCCTCACCTGGGAAACCGGGAAAAACCGGGGAAAACCCCCAAAACCACCGGGATCGGGATGGGCACGGCCGGGAGACCCCCCCCAAGTAACCCAGGAGGAGGAGGAGGAGGAGGAGGAGGAAGGTGCGGGATTCCAGCGGCTCCTTGGGATGCGCGGTCACCCGGGAAGGTCCCAGTCCCTCCCAGTTGTGTCCCAGCTCCCCCCCAGTTGGGTCCCCCGCCCCCTCAAAATTCCCAATTTCCCGATTTTTTCCCGGGATATTCCCCCAACAGCCCGTGCCAGGACCCCCCCCCGCCCCAAATTTCCGAGGAAACCGCTGAGGTCAGAATTTGTTTTTTCCCGAGTTTCCTCCTTTTCCGGCTCACACGTTCCCGAGCGCGGGAGGGGAGGGGACCCGGGATGGGGACATTTGGGGACATTTTGGGGGGGGGGGGGGG